TCAGCTGCATATAACACCCGGTGCTCGTCATAGCATGTACGCTCCTTATTGGCCATGACCCAGTAACCCTGTGCCTCCATCCCCCTTCCAGCAACCCTCAGTTTGTTTCCTAGAGTTAAGAGTCTCTCATGATTTATCTCCTTCTCCAATTTCATCTTATTTTATTTTTCCCTCCCTTCTCCTATGACCCTCTGTTTTGTTTCTTTAATTCCAGATATATGACTCCTTCTCCTGATCAAAAAAAACAGCTACAAAGAAGTCAGCCAAAGCAGTACCCTTGGAAGGCCAGGAGAGAAACTTACCTGTGAGCTGGGGGAGACCCTCTCTTGTTCTCTCCATCCCATACTGGGTTTATCTCTCCCCGACCTTCCTGGGAGATGATGTCTTCCTGAACCCCAAGGAAGTCTTGTCTGGGCTGCAGGTGAGATATGTGACCTTTCCCAGCCCCTGAGGAGCAGCTTCGGCAAGAGTCAAGAACCTTAATGATGACTCAAAGAAACTAAAACAAGGATTTCTTTTTTTACTTCAAGAGTGAAAGTAATATTTCCTGGTCCCTTCTTCTGTTGATGGCCAGAAGCAAAGAGAAAAGGCATTGCTGGAAAATCCTAAACATCCACTCTTTCTCTGGCTGTATAAGGCCTTGTCCCAAGCTAGCACTTAGGCCCCAGAGGACCTTTGTTTCCCAGGAATGGAGGCCCCCTCTCTCCTCCCTTCAGGCTCCTTTTCTTGGGAAACTTCAGATGTGTGTAAAGTTGGCCATGCTACGTTATAGAACACAAGGAAAATCTTAGCTTCTTTTCAGTTCTAGAGGCAGGGCCCCACTGGGAGTGGGGGAAGGTGCTCTGGAAAAGGATTCAGCTCCTTGGATCCTGTGCATCTGATAGGAATGAACCTGTACTGTGTGATTGTGGCCAAGACTCAATTTCCCCTCTGGGCCTTGCCCTCTTAATTCTGTAAAATATTGTATTGGATTTTAAGATACAACATTACCTCTGATTCTGTCACTACCATCTTATTCCCCCAGATTAGCTGTGGAAGACAAGCAGGGTAAAGAAAAGGAAGAAACTTCCACCTCATTCATGGTCCCTTTCAAGCATTTTAAAGCAAGATGGAGAGATTATTAATCATAGACTATAAGACCTCTAACATATGTAGTCTTGGATGAGGTATAAGGCTCAGTCACCTGAGCTCCCCTGGGCCTCTTTATACCCTGTCATACAGGCACACACATATACATACTCAGTTGTGGTGTGTGTGAGACCAACCATAAGCTATGAAAACAAGGGAGGGACAATAACCTCTGCCCTTTCTGGTTCTACTGACCACATATTCTAAATCATAGACTATCACACAACTGCCCTCTTACACAACAGAATTACTTGCATCCTTGGAGCCCCCAACACAACAATAGTCTGAGGGGCCTGAATTCAGCAGATTCAGAGGCCCATATTCATGGTTTGCTTCCAAGGGCACAGAAGAGAGGTCATCTGGGCACCTAGGACCAGGGTAAAGCTCTCTCTGGGCAATGTATGCTTCTGCCCAGAGTTGGATGACCTTTATAGGCCAGGCAGCACTAATTGCCCTGGGGGGAATTAGGACAGCTTTCCAGAGCAGGTCACTTGCCTCCAACCTCCATCTGATCATCAAAAATGATGGCAAGAGTATACATGGGTACATTGCCTGGGGAGAGTAATTTGGCAATAAATTTTAAATTGCAAATATATATGCCTCATGCTACAGCAGTTCTATCTTTAGGAATGTATTCTACAAATATACTTATACACACGTGAAATGACGTGTTTCAAGTTATTCACTGCAACACTAGTAAAGATTAGAAGTAAATTAGATGTCCACTAGCAGCCAATTGATTCCATAGATTATGGTATAGCCATACAGTGGAGTATTAAAAATGGGATGCTATTGTGTGTTAGTATGGAAGGATTACAGATAAATATTGTGAAGCAAAAATAAGCAAGGTGCAGAACAGTGATTGTATTTTATGATCATCTGTGTAGAAAGGAGAGGACAAAAGCACATGTATTCATATTGACTTGTTTGCATATAACATATTGCTGGAAGGATAAACAAGAGACTAGCGGTGGTTACTCCTAAAGAAGTTGAAAATCCGGATGAAGGGAACTTTCTAATACATGTATTTTGAATGTTTTGATGATTGAATAATGTGAATGCATCACCCATTCAAAAGAGTCAGTGAAAAAACACACAAGCACAAGAAAGAGAACAAAGTGGCAAAAGAGGGAGCCTTTCTCCCTGCCAGCCTCTTGGGCAGGAGGAGGCCGGACTAGGAATGGGAGCAGGACTGGGCATTCAGAGGGAAGCATGCCAAGTGTTCCAGCTCCAGCTATTGCTCTGCTTGCTCATAAAAACTTTCACTAACAGGGGCCTGGGATTCCTCTGCTCATGCTCTCCTTTGGTTATTGGCCTAATCAGTCCCTATACTCCAGCACACTCATGTGGCTTGGGAATCTTGTCTTTTTTGAAAATGTAAACATTTGTATACACTTTACTGGAATAATGAGGTCACCCCCTAAAGCACGACAGCCTTTGAAGTTGCTTGACTTCCTTGCCCACTTATCTTACCCTGGCCCCCCAACTCTGATGTCCTGGAAAGAAAATTGCTAAATGACACGTATTTGTTTTAGAGATTACTCCTTAAGAATCTTATGACGCTCCTTTGAGATAACTGGCAACACTCTAGGGTGTTGCCAAACCCAACTTGAGAGTGATTGCCCTGATGACCGGCAAGAGGTTGCAGCCGAGACTCAAAGCCAAGTGTGGCCTGCTCCACTCAGACAGGACTGGGGGTAGGGGGTGCCGAGGCAAGGCTCTCCACCTCCACCCATTGGGCATCCCTGTGCTTGGGGTACTGCATGGGTATGGAAGGCACTGGTTTGGGGGCCACTGACAAATCCTGCTTGTGAGTGAACTGCTAGGACCCTGGGAGACAAAACTGGTTCTTTCTCCTCAGGGATAATTTTAGGTCCTCACGTCCCCTCCCATCTTTCTAACTCCCAACCCCTGGGTCAGCCTCCCAGAGGGATTGCTTAGACCAGTGACTATACAGGGTTCTTTTGAAATACCGAGCTGTTCAAAAGAGACATGTGAGGGTATGGCCCTAGAGGCAATTTCCATGATTACTTTATCCCTTTTGTCCCATTGTTATAGGGGAAGAAGGAAGACAGCCCCAGGATCAGGTGCTGATAGGACTTAATATAGGTATTATGTCTTCCTGCTCTCAACTTGAACCCAGAAGCTTATTTTCCAGCCTCACTTCTCCACACCTTGCTTGACAGGAACTGGCTTAGAGATTGGGAGAGCGTGGCTGGCAGAATCAGCCTGAAATCTGAGGGAGAGAAGGAGCTTTGGGCTTGTCAGGTGAGGCAGCCTCTGATGGGGAGCTGCAGGAGAAACTTAAAGAGGCCTTAAAATAGCAGGCCTATCCTTTCCCCGCAATAGACGACGATGCAACGTGTGACTTCGTGTGACTTCCTCAGCTGCATGCCTTCTGACTTTTAAAAGTTTATGAATAAAATCTTTAAGAAAGTAGAGTGAACATCTTACCATTGGAAGGGGAGTGATGGAGATTTGTGGAGGGCTGGGACGTGATGGTGGCTAGGCCTCAAGCCTCAACCTCAAACCCGTTTATTCAGTTTCAACATGTCCTCAAAGAATTTTAAAATGTGAAATTATCGAGAATTTTATTTTTTATTTATATTTTTTAAAATGTTTTCTTTATTTATTCATGAGAGACACACAAAGAGAGGCAGAGACATAGGCAGGGGGAGAAGCAGGCTCCCTGAGGGGGAGCCTGATGCAGGACTAGATCCCAGGACCCCAGGATCATGACCTGAGCCAAGGGCAGACACTCAACCCCCTGAGCCACCCAGGTGCCCAAAATTTTAGAGAATTTTAAAAGAAAGGACCCACCTAGACATTTTCTAGGTGGAAAGGTGTGTGAAGGGGGCAATGAGCAGTGGGGAAGATGGAGACATTGAAACCCTGAGCATCTCAGTCTACAAGGAGCCAGATCAAAATTTAAATGAGCAGGCAATGCTAAAGACTCCTGGAAAACATTGGAATTTCTCCAGTCGCTGAAAAGAACAAGAACAACAAAAAGACAACAGAGAACGTGAGGAACAGGGAGGGTACAGTGAAATAGAAGAAGGAAGAGGGCATAAATCCCATCGGAATGAGGTTTTGGGAGAAGAGAGAAGACACTGGCTGCCCTCTTTTACTTACAATATTTTATTTTCTTTTTAAAGATTTTATTTTACTTTATTTCGAACGGGGGGGGGAGGGAGAGAGAGAGAGAGAGAGAGAGCAAGAGAGCGAGCCTGAGCACGGAGGAAGGGGCAGAGGGAGAACCAGACTCTCCACAGAGCAGGGAGTGAGGAGCTTGGGGCTCCAGGTGATGCTCCATCCCAGGACCCAGGGACCAGGACCCCAGGCCAAGGCAGACGCTTAACCGAGGGAGTCACCCAGGCGCCCCTACTTAGAATATTTTAGCGAAGGACACTCAAGTAAATGAGGTGCTACTGCGGAAATTTTGGTTTGCCCTGGGAAGGTTACCTGTTCCCGGTAACAGGCCAAAGCGGTGGTGGCGTGTGCGGGGGTGAAGACCACCCCACCCTTCTGCTAGCGTTGGGCTGAGTTCCCGGGACGTCGGTGCGGAGTTCCGGGAAACCCGCGGACCCAGCGCTGCGCGGAGCGAGTGCGGGGGCTCCGGCAGGAGTGGGCGCAGCGCGGCAGAGAAGTCCGGGCGTCGCTACTCCAGATATGGTTAAAGGAAAACGCAGGCGTCCATCTCTCTTCCCCCCCCTTCCCTCGGATCCCCTTCCTGACGCCCGGCGGCTCGGTGAGACTATTGGCCGCTGCCCCTTTAAGGGCCTCCACCCCTCCGCCCCTACCCCCGCCCCCCCGCAGCGGTGGCACCGCGCGGGTGGGAGGGGGGCAGGCTGAGCGTGCTCGCGCGGTCTCCTAGGGAAGATGGCTCAGGCCAGGGAAAGCGCTCCCACGCCCCGCTGTCCCCTTCCCTGAGCTGGGGGAAGGGACCCATCCAGAAGGGACACCCCTTCTCTCTTCCCCTCCCGCCCACTCGCGCCGCGGGGATGGCTCCGTGGCCTCACGGGAACGGCTCTGTGGCCTCGTGGCCGGCTGCCCCCACCCCGACGCCCGGTACCGCCAGCACGAGTGGGCTGCCGGGGGCGCCATGGGCGGTGGCCTTGGCGGGGGCGCTGTTGGCGCTGGAGGTGCTGGCCACCGTGGGAGGCAACCTGCTGGTCATCGTGGCCATTGCTCGGACGCCAAGACTGCAGACCATGACCAACGTGTTCGTGACTTCGCTGGCCACCGCGGACCTGGTGGTGGGGCTCCTGGTAGTGCCGCCGGGGGCCACCTTGGCGCTGACGGGCCACTGGCCTCTGGGCGCCACCGGTTGCGAGCTGTGGACCTCAGTGGACGTGCTGTGTGTGACAGCCAGCATCGAAACCCTGTGCGCCCTGGCGGTGGACCGCTACCTGGCCGTGACCAACCCGCTGCGCTACGGCGCACTGGTCACCAAACGGCGCGCCCGGGCGGCAGCGGTCCTGGTGTGGGTCGTGTCCGCCGCGGTGTCGTTTGCGCCCATCATGAGCAAGTGGTGGCGCGTGGGAGCCGACGCCGAGGCGCAGCGCTGCCACTCCAACCCGCACTGCTGCGCCTTCGCCTCCAACATACCCTACGCGCTGCTCTCCTCCTCCGTCTCCTTCTACCTTCCGCTTCTGGTGATGCTCTTCGTCTACGCGCGCGTTTTCCTCGTGGCGACGCGCCAACTGCGCCTGCTGCGCCGGGAGCTGGGCCGCTTCCCGCCCGCGGAGTCTCCGCCGGCCGCGTCTCGCTCCCGGTCCCCCGGCCCGGCCCGGCGGTGCGCTTCGCCCGCCGCGGTGCCCTCGGACGGCCTGCGGCCCGCGCGCCTCCTGCCTCTGCGGGAGCACCGGGCCCTGCGCACCCTGGGCCTCATCGTGGGTACCTTCACTCTCTGCTGGTTGCCCTTCTTCGTGGCCAACGTGATGCGCGCTCTCGGGGGGCCCTCTCTGGTTCCCAGCCCGGCCCTCCTGGCCCTTAACTGGCTGGGCTACGCCAACTCTGCCTTCAACCCGCTCATCTACTGCCGCAGCCCCGACTTTCGCAGCGCTTTCCGCCGCCTACTGTGCCGCTGCCGGCGGGAGGAGCACCGCGCCGCCGCCTCCCCGCCTGGCGACCCCTCGGCCGCCCCTGCGGCCCTGACCAGCCCCGCGGAGTCCAGCCAGTGCCCACCGCTCGACGGGTAGGTAACTGAGGCGAGGAGGCCGGCGGTTCAGGATCAGAAGGCACTCGGTGTCTCTTGGGGCCATTTCTCGGAGTTCGGGATTCGGTAGGATAAGGTGGGGTTGGAGACGGCCGAGCACCTGCCCCAGGACGGAAGCAAAGATTGTTGTTCACCCCAGGACCTAGTGCGGTCCGGGGAATGCGGCTGTATCCTGAGCCGGCTCGGTCAGCCCCGCATTTTCTAGCTGAGTTCTTTGGTCTCCCAGATCTCTTGCCACCCCTTGGGCTGGCTTTGACTTGCGCGGAAGACTAGAGGCCTTCTCAGACTCAAGGCCTGAGCTCTGGTTTCTTTGAAAGGTTTGATAGCTACGGGGTGATAGTGAGAATCCACTCGAGGTCTGAAGGATAAACGGGAGTTGGGGAGGGGGTGAGGACTGTGAGTGTCAATTCTTCTCCTGGGTAGGAGCAGGCCCGGTTGGAGTTGGGGGGTGGGTATTTTGTGGCTGGGTGGAGCCCGGATGCTTTTGCGGACAAATGCTTCCCAGCGTCCCTGACCTTTGCTCCTTCCCTCTACTGGCCCTGTCTCCACCCTGTGTCCCTCACCCCAAGATATGTTATCTCCATTTTTCAGGGCTTCCTGGGGAATCTCTTAGGTCCTGAACGACAAGAAACAACTCTGTCAATCCAGAACTTTTGGAAAGCCTCTCCTGGCCTCTGTTTAGAATGGGCCCTGTGGAACTTCCCAGCTGGAAATCTCTGACCTCCAGAAACTGATGACTTGGCCTTGGGGTGGGGAGGCAGAGGTTGGGAGGGGCAACCATTACCAAGTGAGTTTTCACCATCCTCTTGTCTCTCTCTTCCTGAGAAGAGTTTTCTAAACCCCACCCCTGAATTTTACCGCTACCTCAGCAGCTGAAGTATCCAGCAGCCTGCTCTCAGCTGCCCTCGGAGTCCCCATTAGCTTTGGTGGCCCACCTGTCACCTTGCTCACTTCTGTGCTGCGTGCTTAGGGCAAAGAGGTCTCTCCTCCTTCCATTCCTTCTGCTGCCTGTGGACCTGATGGACCACTGAGTGTCCTTCAGGCTCGGTGGCCAAGGCTGGGAGCAGAAAGCTATAAAAGGTCCGGGTTTGGGGTTCTGTCCCTGACTCCATCACTACAGATTCCTAAGCACCAGCCTTCCCCCCTTTGGATACAAGACAGCTCTGATCTACCTCACAGCAGTGTCAGGAGGACTTCTTCAGGGTTTGAGGAGGGTGGAGGGTGAATTCCATTAGAGTGGATTCTTTATTTTCCTTTTAGCATCAAATTAATAAATATTAGTGAATGCAGTTCATCTACTGCCTGCTTTTCTCCATTTCTTTCCCCTGTGATCCACTTACTCCCTTCTTAGAGCTGGCTTTTGAAAGATGCAATAAATTAAGATTAATCCTTGCCCCTTTCTTCCTACTCATTATGAAACAAAAGATGAAAAGTCTGTCTGGATGAAGGGGAGGGAGCTTAAGCCCTTGCCACTCCTGCATCTCCATCTTTCCAAAATTCACGGAATCCAGTTGCAAGTGGGTAGCAAAGCCATGCTGCCCAAAGGATTTAAGTGCAGTGCTCATAGGAGGACACTGTTTGTATGCTCAGGATCAGGGCATATGGAGTGTGTGTCAACTCCCAGGCTATAAACCAGTGGTGCCTTCATAAAATCCCATTGCCATCAGGAACCAGTTTTGTCTAGTATTTACGTGTGTGTGTGTGTGTGTGTGTGTGTGTGTGTGTGTCTGGAGGCACAGATCATTGTTTGTGTTGGGCAAATGTCTGGTTATAAATATATTCTGGGGCAGCCCCCCATGGCGCAGCAGTTTAGCGCCACCTGCAGCCCAGGGCATGATCCTGGAGACCCTGGATCCAGTCCGACGTCAGGCTCTCTGTATGATTGTATGATGCCTGCTTCTCCCTCTGCCTGTGTCTCTGCCTCTCTCTCTGTCTCTATGAATAAATAAATAAAATCTTTAAAAAAATTATAATAAATAAATAAATAAATAAATAAATAAATAAATAAATTCTGATGCTTCCCATCCTTTCCACAACCTCTCCCTTTCCTGGGCTGCAGAAATCAATGTTATTCTTTTGATATAAAACTGGAAAAAAAAAACTGGGATCACAAGTTTGAGTTAGTTGATAATTTTTCCCCCTTATTCCAATTCTTTTTTAGAATTTTATTTATTTATTCATGAGAGAGAGAGAGGCAGAGACACAGGCAGAGGGAGAAGCAAGCTCCATGCAGGGAGCCCGATGTGGGATTTGATCCCGGGACTCGATCCCGGGACTCGATCCCGGGACTCCAGGATCATGCCCTGGGCGGAAGGCAGGCACTAAACCATTGAGCCACCCAGGGATCCCCCCCTTATTCCAATTCTTAAGGGCCTTATCAGGCCATTTCCTTTGGAAAGAAAATTTCCATGGAAGTCACTGAATCATTTTGTGAGTTCTTATTTAAAAACCATAAGCAGAGACCATCATCCAGGCTGATTTACAGGATGGCTACTAAATCATCAAATGTTTAAGGTGCTCTGTGACAGCAGGGTACAATGAACTTGCTAGATTCAGGAGCTCCAGAGTTATAAAACTTCGATCTACCCTGAGGATAAACTCAGTGGATTTCCACATATGGCCTGACCCTGTGAATTGGACCTGGCCTCTGCTGCTCCCTTTTCTCCAGGAGCCTAGGTTTCATTTCTTAGGATGTTTGCATACCAAAGATGACCTTCTCTTTTTCAGTCCAGAGCAGTGTGAGATCTCTTGGGTCTGAGGTATGGGAGGTTTCTTATCAAGGACTCAATTTTTGAATGCTTAGTGGAGAAGGAAGTCTTGCTTTGGCCTGGAAATAAGTAAGAGGGCCTCCTCTCGCCATCTCTGGATATTTTTCCAACATCGCTGAGGACAGTTGTCCAGTCAGTCCTAGGCAGGGAAGAAGGATGATTTTGCGGGAGGGGAGTGGAGTGGGGCTCTGGTTTGTAGAAATGTCCTTGAATGTTATCCAAGAGCTCATACTGCGTGAATCTTGCTTGACACACACCCGTGTGCCAGCTGTCAGGCTCCTTTAGGGTGTTTAGGTTTGCACTGGGCTGTGGACTCCATCTGCAAATTGTTACCAGTGCATTTGACAGATGGAGAGTCAGCCATTCTGGTCATCCCTCCAGCAACTTGTGGCTAGGTGTCAGGCTGAAGGAGATTTACATCTTGGATGCTGAGCAGGCTGCTTTTGCTAGCACGGGGCCTAAGCACTTGAACTGTGGAAGACAAACACCCATCTTCTGAACCTAGAGAGGTGAAGACTTACAGACCAGTGAGAACAAAAACACCTGTGGAACCCTGGCCTTGCCAGAATCTGTTAGCAGGAGCTGGGCATGGGCAGAAATGACAGGGCGAAGGGGGTGAGCTCAGCAGAGAGGGGATGAAGAGTGACTGGGTTTTCCAGAGGTGACTTACCTTCTGCATCAGGTGGAACCACTAAGGGGCAAGCAGAATTAGGGTAAGGAGGAGGTTGAAAACAGGCTTTCCTAGGACTCTCCCCATGGTAAGATTCTTCTGGGGGACCATGGTTGGTGCAGCTTCTCCCTTTAATTCTGGGGGCACTGGTGAAGGCCATGGGAATAGTGTTCCTCTATGTTTTGATCCTGAAAGCCAATCATCTGGGCTCCCTCTACGGCTTCCTGGCTGCAGATCTATGTCTGTGTTTGCCTGTCTCTCCAGAGGAGAAGTGAGAACTGCAATGGGGAGTACAGCTGATGCCCAACCCCCTCCCCCACCCCCCCACCCCCCCCACCCCCGCCCCAGCCAACCCCATGCAAGAAGCCCTGGAGGTAGCTCACCATAGGCCAATTAGTTGAAGCATAATATGCAACAGTTAAATTAGCAGAAACTCCAGAAGGCCATCTAATTTTCTTAGCTATTATGAAATTAAGGAAAATCAGAACGCTTTCCTCAGTGTCCTCATCTATAAAGGGACAAATGTTGACTTTCTCTCCTCTCTTGCCTTTAGAAGGGGTTTGAGGGTACCTAAAGCTCCGTGGAGTCCAAAGCAGAGAGCTTCGCAACTGCAGTCTTTGCCCCACCTCAAGCATAAACGGTGCTGGGCGCCCCCTGATGGTGTTGGGAGGTACAACAGGCATGGGCTTGGAAGTGTCCATCTGTTGACTAGCCAGGGAGCAGGAATGCAGTTTTCCTAAGGCCAGGAAGTATCAGAGCTGGAAGAGGGCATAGAAATGATTTAGTTCAACTCTTTGATAACGTGGATGAAGAAACGGACTTCTAGAGAGGTAAACTGTGAGTAGCCAATATTACTTTAGTCAGAGACAGGCAACACTGGTAGTGTAAAGAGTGCCAAATTTGAACCTGGAAAAAAAGAAAGGGAGAAAGAAGGAAATGGCCATGAATTGAGCACCAGTCAATATACCAGTACTGTCAGAAGTGGATCTACAATGTTATGTTGAAGTGATAACAAATAGTAGAGCCTCATAGAAATCAAATAGCTTATAACCCAATCTACTAGACTAAATATTTCATTTTATTCCCCTTCCACACTCACTGATAATCAGTTATGTGACACTGAGCAGGTTACTTGGCATCTTTGACATTTTGTTTGCCTGCGAATCAAATGGAGATTCTATTATTGTTCTACCCAGCTCGTGCAGTCTAGTTTTGAAGACCAAATGGGTGGCCCAGTGGTTTAGCATCTGCCTTCAGCTCAGGGTGTCATCCCGGGACCCTGGGATCTAGTCCCGCACTGGGTTTTCCCCAGGGAGCCTGCTTCTCCCTCTGCCTGTGTCTCTGCTCCTCTCTCTGTGTCTCTCCAAAAACAGTTTGGAAAATGATAGGGCTCCTCCAGTGTTAATTGAAGTAGGGAACAAAGACTAGTCTCAGGCCTCCTGATTTTGATCTGTGGATAGTCCTGCTTCCACAGACAGCCTAGACCTTGTACTTGTCTTTGGCCAGGATGGGCATGTCCCTCCTGGTCTTTCTTCTGCAGATTCATCCCTGCCTCAGACTGGTACCTCTGGTTTCATATCCATGTCACAAAACACCTCCCCTTCTGGCTTTTTTTCACATTCAAACTCTGGTCTGGCCTGTGCCTGACATTTTGGTCCTGGTTTGACTCACCCTTCCTTTTCCCATGCAGCATGTGTAATGAGCCAAATTTTAAGGTTGGATAGAAGTTTAGGACAGAGGGCACTTCTGGCTATTGGGACTTTATGGTACATTATAGTAAAGGTTCATTAGAATGGGGCCCTAAAGAACCAGAAAAGAAGATGGTCTATTAGTTTGCTAGAACTGGCATAACAAATTACTTTTCTCATAGTTCTAGAGGCTAGAACTAAAATAACAAGGTGTTGGCAGGATCATGCCCTCTCTGAAGGGATCCTTGGTTGCATCTTGTAGCTTCTCACAGTTGCTGGTGATCCTTGGCATTGCTTGGCTTGCAGCTGTGTCATTACAACTTCTGCCTCTGTCTTCACGTGGCCTTCTTCCCCTTTGTGTCTGTGTCTACAGTTTCCCTCTTCTTATAAGGACACCAGTCATTGGAGTAGAGCCTAACTTAATTCAGTATGAGCTCATTTTAACTTGATTACATCTGCAAAGACCCTATTTCCAAATAAGGTCACATTCACAGGTTCTAGGGGTTAGGACTTCAATGCATCTTTAAAGAAGGCATGGTTCAACTTACAACAGAAGATATGATGGAAAAGGAGGAATACTATATTCCTAGCATTTCTGTGTTCATCTTATTCCTTTTCAAGGTTCCATGTCATCTTGTAATGAGAAGGGTGGTAGGGGTGCTATCTATTTGTGGATTTCCATTTCTGGACCTTTCTTCCCTTCTCCCTGGGCCCCAGATTTGAGAAGCCACTAAGTAAGTCAGACCTTGTGTTTGTTGTCTCTTGTGGACAGCTCTCAGTTGTCCATTCTTCCCTTCTTCCTTTAGTGATAGAACGCCTAAGTTTTAGCTGGGCACAAGGCCTTGCTAAAGACATATTGCAGCCTTCTGGCAGCTAGGTGTGACTATGTGCCTAAGTTCTAGCTGACTGAGGTGTACGGCTTCCAGGTCTGCCATTAAAGGGAAAGGGCATATCCTCCACATTCACTTCTTCCCTTCCCACTGGTTGGAAGGCAGATGTGATGATAGGAACTGAAGCAGCCACCTTAGGTCATGAGATGGCAGCCATGTGTTATAGGTGACAGAAAAACCAGATAGGAGGAACCTGGGTATTCAACAGTGTGGAGTCACCTTGTCCACCATGGATTGCTTATGTTTAATTAAGACACTTAAATGAAAGAAAAATAAACTCCTATCTTGTTTAAGTCAGAATTATTTTGGACTTTTTTTTTTTTAAATCACAGCCACATCAAACAA